AATAGCATAATCAATAAAATATATATTAAATAAAAAAGTTATTGCCATACCCCCCCCCCAAAATTGGTTTTCTAGCTATACTAGCAACAAACAATTAGAGGTTGAAATTTTTTAAATACCATTTATAATACTACCCTGAAATATTAGGTACTTAGACATAAATCTCACGAAAGATGTGTGTGACCTGTACACTGAAAATAGCAAAATATTGCTGAGTGAAATTAAAGAAAATTTATATAAATGGAGAGAGATGTCTTCTTTATGGTTGGGAAGAAGACTTGATATTGTTAAGATGTCAATTCTACATTAGCTTTGATTCTCAGAACCATAGTAGTGTTTTGCATACTTTTCCTCCAAGAAGTAAATAAGGAATTAAAATCAACCAGGACATATGGAAAACAACCCCAAATAAAATATAAACCGTAACAAACAAACTGAACTGTATTACACATGAATAAAATAATCACATTAAAGAGGATAAAGGAAGAAAAAAGAAAGAGCTAACCTAAGTAAAATATAAGTATCTGTGTATGCATACATATATTTCTGGCTCTGCTTGCTAAGAAGGCCCATGAGCAATGACATCCTAGTAGTAATGAGCACACCTGCACCCAGATTTGGTTTCTAAATAAAAGGAACTATTCTACAATAAAAGTAACTGGGGCTGCTTGGAGAAATGATTGATTCCAGGACTAGAGCAAAGAAAATATAAGATGACGCTGGACCATCTCGTATCAGAAAATATGGAAGTGTTCACAAAAGGACATATCAAGAGGACATAGGAGCAAGGCTGATAATTTCCAAAGGCCAAAGCTATTATCAGTTTGAGCAACAAAATAAATAATGATAGTATTGGATAACCCATAGAATAAAATAAACACCCATGAATCTTTACTGATACAAATTGAACAAATAAGTTCATGGGAAAGAAGGAACAGCTCCTACCAAAGAATTCCAGTTAATGTAGAAGGAATAAGAGAAATACATAACCACTATTAGATAAAAAACAAAATATAAATGTCACAGTCACATTCCACCAATGGCTACTAAAATCAGTGGGGAAATTTTTACATAGTAATAGTATTTGGCAGTCTCAAAGAATCTCCCCCACGATATTTGTCAGTTATTAAGGGAAAAATACAACTTTCTTGGTGGCAAACCCAGAAGACATCACTTCAACCAAGTGTGTTCAAAGTTAACACCACCGGGTATAAGACATCGACATTATATACTCCTTGTATGACTTTAAAGGACACAGCACCACTTCTGTGCTGTACCTGCTAAAAGCATCACTTTAATCTAATCATGAGAGACCAGACAGAACCACATAGACTTATACAGAATAACTGACCAGAACTCATTAAAAGTATCGAAGTCATGAAATACATGGAAAGGCTGAGGAACTGCTACAGATTAGGAGAGACCAATGAGACACAAGAACTAAATGCAGGACTTCAAGATGGAGTTGTAGGTAGACAGATTTTGCCTCGTCACACAACCACAAAAAGGAATTACAACTAAATCTCAAAACAAATAATACCCAGGACTGTCAGAAAATTGAACTGTGTAGAAGTTCAACAACCAAGGAATTAAAGAAGCCATATTCGCTAGCTGGGCAGGAGGGGCAGAGACATGGAGATCGAGCAGAGAGGCAAGGAGACATGTTGTGGCATGGAGAGGTGGCAGTGATGGAATGGCACGGGTGGTCCCACATTCACGGGTGGTGGATAAAAATCGAGAGGGATACCTTGGGAGCAAGCGATCCCAGCCCCATGCCAGACCACACAGCCCAGGATTCCAGTGCTTGGAAGATAAATCCCCATACATAACCTCTGGCCATAAAAACCAGTGGGGGTTGGAGTGGCAGAAGAAACTGCCAGATTTTCAGAAATCTTCACTTAAAGGGCCCACACATTCTTAAAACATATGCAAACCCACCCACTCTGGGATTCAACACCAGGGCAAGAGCTGGTAGAGTGCCAGTCGCATACAGGGAGTGAAAAAAGTTATAGGAAATTGGCCAAGTGCCAGGCAAACTCCCAGAAGCCAGGCAGCAACACTGCCCCCTCTCTGAGCCCTCCCCCCACACAGAGCCATGAAGCAGTGAAGTGGGTTGCCCGACCCTGGCAATTTCCTAAGGCTCTGACCCACACAATTTACAGGGAATCAAAGCAGCTCTACCAAATACACAGAAACAAACACAGTGAGGCTGCCAAGTTGAGGAGACAAAGATACATGGCCTAAATGAAAGAATAGAACAAAACCCCAGAAAAAGAACAAAACAGAGGTAGCCAACTTATCAGATGCAGTGTTCAAAACACTGGTGCCCAGGATGCTCAAAAAACTCGTTGAGTATGGCAACAACATAAAGGAAGAAATGGAGGTTACACTAAGTGAAATAAAGAAAAATCTACAGGGAACTAACAGTGAAGGGAAGGAAGCTGGGATTCAAATCAACGATTTGGAACATAAGGAAGAAATAAACATTCAATCGGAACAGAAAGAAGAAACAAGAATTTTTTTAAAATGAGGATAGCGTAAGAAGACTCTGGGACATCTTAAAACATGCCGACATCCGAATCATTGGGATGCCAGAAGGAGAAGAGGAAGATCAAGAAATCAGAAACTTATTTGAAAAAATAATGAAAGAAAACTTCCCTAATTTGGTGAAGGAAATGGACATACAAGTCCAGAAAGCAGAGTCCCAAACAAGTTGGACCCAAAGAGGACCACACTAAGACACATAAGAATTAAAATGCCAAAGGTTAAAGACAAAGAGGGTATCTTAAAAGTAGCAAGAGAAAAATTACCTTCAAAGGCGTTCCTATAAAACTATCAGGTGATTTTTCAAAAGAAACTTTGCAGGCATGAAGGGACTGGCAAGAAGTATTCAGAGATGAAAAGCAAGGACATAGAAACTAGATTACTCTATTGAGCAAAGATGTCATTTAGAATGGAAGGGCAGATAAACTGCTTCCTGAACAAGGTAAAGCTAAAGGAGTTCATCATCATGAAGTGATTATTACATGAAATTTTAAAGGGACTCATTTAAGAAAAAGGAAACCAAAACTGTGAACATAAAAAAGGCAACAAATTCACAGCTAACAACTGAATCTTAAGGGGGGTGGGGGGGAGGAACCTAAGCAAACAACTAGAACAGGAACAGAATCATAGGTATGGAGATAATTTGGAGGCTTAACAACTGGGAGGGGGAAGGGGAAGAATGGGGGGAAAGGTGCAAGGATTAAGAAACATAATTGGTAGGTACAAAATAGACAGGGAGATGTTAATAGTGTAAGAAATGGAGAAGCCAAAGAAATTATATGTACAACCCATGGACATGAACTAAGGGGGGCATTGCTGGAGGAAAGCGGGGTACCGGGCAGGGGGAGCAAAGGAAGAACAAGTGGGACAACTGTAGTAACATAATAAAATATACTAAAAAATAAAAATCTTGAATCCAGGTTAAAAAAAAAAAAACTAAACTAAACTAAATGCAGTGTAGGATCATGGAACAGAAAAGACATTAGGGGAAAAGTGGGTAAGATCTGAGTAAGGTCTGTGTTGTATCAATATTCATTTCCTAGTTTTGGTAATTGCACTATGACTTGTAAGGTGTTACCATTATGGTAAGCTAGGAGAAGTCCATAGGAAATTTCTCTGTAACATTTTTGCAACTTTTTCATAAGTCTAAAATTATTTCCAAATAGTCCTGACCAATGTGGCTCAGTTGGTTGGGCATTGTCCTGCAAAGCAAAAGGTTGCTCATTCAGTTCGCAGGCAGGGCACATACCTGGATTGCAGGTTCGGTCTCCAATCAGGGGCATGCGAGGGGCAACCAATCAGTGTTTCTCACATTGATGTTTCCCTCCCTCCTTTCTCCTCTCTCTAAAAATAAATAAAATCTTTTAAAAATAAAATTACGTCCAAATAAAAGATTAAAGAAATAGTAAAGGTCCATTGGTTTTAGACTGTTGGTAGGTATGCATAGCTAAAGGGTCTGAAGAAACGAAAAGATACAACTGATGTCTGTCAGCTGATGACTCACCAATTAATAGATTATTTCTACATTGGCATTGCTGTTGCCTTTGGTTATTAAATTAACAGTAATCATCTCCAATAGGTTCTCTAGGCTCATTCAAAGTGCTTTAAAAATCTAATTAGAAAATAAAAACAGTATTTCAGGGTTTTAATACTCTATTAGTTGTCCATAAGAACAAGATTACTGGATTTTAAAATAAATTAAATAGCATTTTAAATTGAAAACAGATTTCTCCACATAGTTGTTTTGATGGACATTAGCTGGCTCACAGAACTTAATATAGATTTTAAGCTACTTGGGTATATGGCTATTTTTTTTTTAATTTCTTTTTTTTTTATTTTATTTATTTTTAGAGAGGAGAAGGGAAGAAGAAAGAGAGGGAGAGAAACATCAGTGTGTGGTTGCCTCTGGTGTACCCCTGGCTGGGGACCTGGCCTGCAACCTAGGCATGTGCCCCAGACTGGGAACCCTTCGGTTCACAGGCTGGTGCTCAGTCCACTGAGCCATGCCAGCCAGGGCTGAAAACTCCTATGACTCTAGATTAAGAAAAAATCATTTCTGTTGGCTTGTGTCTATCATCCTTTCTGTTAAGTTTCATTTAGCAACCCCTACCAAGCAAGATCTATGGAATGAATTTCCCTGACACTCTTGCTATATTAGAATTACAGTATACACCTCTAAAATACTTGACTCACAAATCACCAAGCATAGCTAAATTAAAATTTTAACTTTTTATTGCAATATATTATGCATATTAAAAAGCACACATAAGTATGCTTTTGATAAATTTTGAGTTTAATAAAGTATTAATTAAATTTTAAGTGGATTGTTCAATATTCTAAAATAGCGAGTTTGCTCAAATGTCAGCATATCATATAGGAAGAAAAGAAATTCTGTAGGTATTATTAGTGAGGTTTTTTTGTATGCTTAATTTAGTTTTGGTTTTGTTCTTTTTCAGGATGTGGTGGATACACACCCTGGCCTCACATTCCTGAAGGATGCTCCAGAATTCCACTCCCGCTACATCACCACAGTAAGCTGAATCCTTTTTTGTCTTAATATAACTTAATAACTAGGCTTTCAGATTTTTATGCAAAAGGTAACTTGGGCTATAATGATTATTTTGAGTGGAAGGAAGGTGCAGTAATATTGAATTAATTATTTATGTACCCATTGCCTAAGAGGTCTCTTGTATACAAAATTAAAGTAATATATTCATTCTGTCTGGTCTTATGAAGTATACCTTTTGCTATGTCATAAATGTTGGTGCCCAGTTGATCTTTGGCATTTTGTATAATACTGGAAAGAACTTTCAAGTCTTTCCCAGAAAAAGATGTGTATGTAGTACCTCAACGTTAGAAGTAGACTTGGTATTAAGAAATAGTTTGCATGTAATGAGAAGACAAATCTTGAAAGAATTAAAATTACAAACACAATCTCTTTTTTTGTGAGGTGGTCTCTCATTCCCTTTCTCATGTACAGTGTCATTTGGTCAGTCACAAGCAGGATATGAATTCTGAGTGGGAGCACAGGTCTGCTGTGCACACAGCAGCCATGTCAGGCATCCTCTGCCCAGCTCCCAGATGATCTTTGGAGAAATTCCAAAGATGAGCCCATGCACACCTCACATTCATGGCCACACTCCAGTGAGATGGCCATTGCATCTGGCCCATATCCCTCCTTAAATAAGGCAGTCTTCTCTGAGGTAGATCCTGTTATTCTTAGAGTGTATTTTTTGTTGACCAGGGATTTGTTGGATTCTGTTGAGTTACAGAAAACTGCTGGGGTTTTTCCCTCCTACAGGAACTTCATTCTTTACTTTTACTTTGGTTTTCATCTCATAAAACTTTGTGAGACTTTAAGACAGAAGGTGTCACTGTCATCTTAGACTGTCTCAGAAGTTATTTTTGCCTGTTAACCACAACACTATGGTAAATTACCTCCATCCCAATCACCTGGGCCCAGTCACCCTTCTTTCTTACTTGGATTACTTTTCATTGGTCTCCCTTCTTACACCTTTATTGCCCTACAATCTAGTTTCCACAAAGCAAGAGTTGTCCTTTGAAATGTAAGATCATGTCACTCTTCTGTTCAGACCCTCCAGTGGTTTCCCCTCCCACTCAGAATAAAAGCCAGAGTCCTTGTCAAGACTCTCCGTAATCCCCGCCACACACACCTTCACATCCCCTGCCCTCTGATCTTATCTCCTGCCACCCTGCTGCTTGCTTACTCTGCTTTAGCCACTATGGCCTCCTCACTGCTTCTGGAACATACCAAACCCGACTCCTGCCTCATGTGCTGTGTTCTCATTCTTTCCTCCACCTTGAGTGCTCATCCTATAGATGTCCACAACTCACTCCCTTACTTCATCCAGATGTCTGCTCACATATTTCTTTGTTAGTGTGGCCTTCCCTGAGCACCCTCTGCCTTCTTCACTCTTCTTCTCCGCCCCCTTGCCCTACACTCTCTATTCCTTTCTTCTGTTTTTTCTTCTTAGGTCTTATATCATCTGATATTTAAATTTTTATTTGCTTATCGTCCATCTGGGACTTCTTTATATTTTCACTGCTACATTTCCAATACCTAGAATAGTGCCTGGCACATAACAAATGAACAGTAAATATTTATTGCGTGAACAAGTGAAATTATTCAGGCTTAAGAATTTCACACATTAACTCTGCCTCCACTCCAAAGGGAATTATTGGATTCTAATTAATTGTTGACAGTTCTATAAACTTGGAGTCTATTAGTAGCATAATTTAGAAAGGATCTTTGAAATAATTTAGTCCAACCTTCTGCCAATTCAGAAAATGTTCTTTATAGAGGACCTTTTATTGAAACTTATTCTTAGAAAAGATGTTAAAGAACAGAATTGTATTTAAATACCATACTAGATGGTCTGTAGTCACCTAGGAAGTGGTTCCAAGGAATTTTTATGATTTCAGAGGGAAAAGCCATGAAACACTTTTGTCCACATATAATTCACACTTTCTGAGAAATTCTGTTGTTTTTTTATTTTTATTTGTTATTGTTGTTCCAACTACAGTTGTCTCAATTTTCCCCCAACACTTGCCCCCTATTCGCCCATGCCCATCTCCCACCCTCAAACCTACCCCCCTTTAGCTTTGGCCATGTGTGCTTTACACATGTTCCTTGACAGCCCTTCTGTTTTCCCCCTTTACAGCTCTCCCCCACCCCCTCTGGTTACTGTCCGTTTGTTCTTTATTTCAGTGTCTCTGGTTATATTATGCTTGCTTGTTTGTTCTGTTGATTAGGTTCCACTTATATGTGAGATCACATTGTATTTGTCTTTCACTGCCTGGCTTATTTCACTTAGCATAATGCTCTCCAGTTCCATCCTTGCTGTTGTGAAGTGTAGGAGCTCCTTCTTTTCTTTCTGTTTTATAGCATTCCATTGTGTAAATGTACCATAGTTTTTCAATCCACTCATTTACTTATGGGCACTTAGGTTGCTTCCAGCACTTTGCTGTTGTAAATCATGTTGCTATGAACATTGGGGTGCAAAGGTTCTTTTCAGTTGGTGTTACAGATTTTTAGGGCATATCCCCAGCAGTCAAAAGGCAGTTCCATTTTTGTTTTCTTAGGAAATTCCATACTGTTTTCCAGTGGCTGCACCAGTCTGCATTCCCACCAACAATGTACTAGGGTTCCCTTTTCTCCACCACCTCTCCAGCACTTGTTTGTTGATTTGATTATGATGGCCATTCTGACCAGTGTGAAGTGGTAACTCGTTTTAATTTGCATCTCCTGATGGCTAGTGATGCTGAGCATCCTTTCATATGTGTCTGAGCCCTCTGTATGTCCTCCTTGGAGAAGTGTCTGTTCAGGTCCTTTGCCCATTTTTTATTGAGGTATTTGTCTTCCTGGAATGGAGTCATGTGAGTTCTTTATATATTTTGGAGATCAAACCTTTGTCAAAGGTGTCATTGGCAAATATATTTTCCCATACAGTTCGTTCCCATTTCATTTTGCTGGTGTTTTCTTTACCTTGTAGAAGCTTTTTATTTTGATGAGGTTCCATTTGTTTATTCTATCCTTTATGTCCCTTACTCAAGGGGACATACTGCTAAAAAATATTGCATGGAATATCTGAGATTTTCCTGCCTATGGTCTCCCCTAGGACTTTTATGGTGTCGCGACTTATATTTACGTCTTTTATCCATCTTGAATTTATTTTTGTGTATGGTACAAGTTGGCAGTTGAGTTTCATTTTTTTGCTGATAGCTGTCCAGATCTCCCAACACTATTTGTTGAAGAGATCCATCTTATTCATCTTCCTTCCCTTTGTCAAACATTAATTGACCGTAGTGACATGGGTTTATTTCTGGGCTCTCTATTCTGTTCCATTGGTCTGTGTGTCTGTTCTTATAGGTCAGTACCAGACTGTTTTGATTACAGTGGCCTTGTAATATAGTTTGTTGTCAGGTATTGTGATCCCTCCTACTTCATTCTTCTTTCTCAAAATTGCTGCAGCTATTTGGGGTCATTTATGGTTCCCTATAAAATTTTGAAATATTTGTTCTCTATCTGTGAAATATTTCATTGATATTTTAATAGGGATTGCAATGAATCTATAAATTGCTTTGGGTAGTTAATTCTTCCAGTCCATGCTTCCATTTATGTCTTTCTTAATTCCTTCAATGTTGTGTAGTTTTCTGAATATAAGTCTTTTACCTCCTTGGTAAGGTTTATTCCTGTTTACTTTTCTTCTTGTTATAGCAAATGGGATTTTTTTTTTCCTGATTTCTGTTTGTGATATTTTATTGTTGGTGTACAAAAATGTCTTCAATTTCTGAATATTGACTTTGTATCCTGCTGTTTTGCCAAATTTACTTATTAGGTCAAGTAGTTTTTTGGTGGAGACTATAGGGTTTTCCATGTACACTATCATGTCGTCTGTAAACAATGACAGTTTTGCTTCCTCCTTTCCATTTTGGATGCCTTTTATTTCTTTTTCTTGTCCGATCAGTGTGGCTAGTACTTCCAATACTATGTTGAATATTAGTGGTGAAAGCGGACACCCTTGGTCTTGTTCCTGATCTTAATGGAAAAGCTTTTAATTTTTGCCCCTTGAGTATGATGGTGCCTGTAGGTTTCTCGTATATGGCTTTTATTATGTTGAGGTATGTGCTCCCTCTACTCCCACTTTGCTGAGTGTTTTTATTATAAATGGGTGTTATACCTTATCAAATGGTTTTTCTGCATCTAGTGATTTGATCATGTGATTCTTTTTTGTCTTTCCTTTTGTTTATGTAATGTACTACGTTTATTGATTTGTGAATATTGAACCATCCTTGCATCCCTGGGATGAATCCCACTTGATCAGGATGGATCATCTTTTTAGTGTATTGCGGATGCGGTTTGCCAATATTTTGTTGAGGATTTTAGCATCTATGTTCATCAGCGATTATTGGCCTGTAGGTTTCTTTCTTTGTTGTGTCTTTACCTGGTTTTGGGATTAAGATGATGCTGACTCATAAAAAGAGTCTGGGAGTCTTCCTTCTTCTTGGATTTTTTGGAATAGTCTGAAAAGGATAGGGGTTAACTCCTCTGTAAATGTTTTGTAAAATTTTCCTGTGAAACTCTCAGGTCCAGGACTTTTGTATGCCAAAAGTTTTTCGATTTCAACAGCTGTTATCGGTCTGTTCGGGCTTTCTGCTTCTTCTTCATTCAGTTTTGGAAGATTTCTATTTCTAGAAATTTGCCCATTTTGCCTAGATTTTCAAATTTCTTGACACATAGTTGTTTATAGTAATTTCTTACAATCCTTTGTATTGCTGTTGTATCATGCTCTCCTTTTTCATTTCTGATTTTATTTATTTGGGTTCTCTCTCTTTTTTTCTTGATGAATCTGCTTAAAGCCTTGTCGATTTTGTTTATCTAGTTGCTCTGGGTTTTGTTTGTTGTGGTTCCTCCAGTTCTTGTAGATGTAGGGTTAAGGTTGTTTATTATTGTGTTAATTGTTGAACAAAAAGAACTACATTGGTCATTTAACAGGATGCAATTACTTAT